TGGCTACTCCATAGACATAGCAGCCCTGAGGGCTGCTGGTTTTCCATTTGTATGGTTATTTCTTGATTATATGCTAAATAATCATTATATACCTCCCCTTTTTAGACCATATACGGTAACTTTCTGATGCTACCATGGCATTTATAAATTGTTGTGGCACTAATGGGAGTGTAGCAGTGAGGACAACCAGAGGTCACTCTCATTGCTATCTTGGTGTTGGTGGGTTTCAGCCGGCTTCTTTACTGAAACTGTTTTATCAATAAGGTCTTTATGATCTGTATCTTGTACTGACCTCCTATCCCATCCTGTGACTTAAAATGCCTTCACTTCCTGCAAATGCAGCCCAGTAGGTTTCAGATTCATTTACACAGTCCCTATTCAAGATGGAGTTGCTCTGGTTCAAACGCCTCTGACACTATTATTAGGGAAAGAGCAAAGATTTGGCATGTGAAGAATCTAGGTTCAAGCCCTACTCCTCCCACACGTTATGAATACAATTTTGGGAAATTACCTTTGTACTTAGTTCTTGCACCCTTTCTGTATAACGGGCTTATTAGCAATATTTTTTTGCCTCATAAAGCAATTGCTGGTGTGATGAAATGCAAGTTTTTTTTCTGAATTTATTATTAATCTTTATGTAATCTTCCCTATTTCTGGACTAGATTCTTCCAGCAGCTTCTAAATATCCCACTATTAAAGAAGGACACACCACATGTAGGAATAGATTGGAAAGTTTTAGCAGCTAAGGTAAAAATGAATTCACCAAGGGAGAAAGGAAAATTACAGTCTCAGGTCCCAAGATTACAGGTTGAAGAATACAAAGATTTCTTGGGCACTAGCGGCAACCTGTAATTTTTGTTAAGTGAAAGGGATGACATTGGATTTCAGAGAGCTAAAGCGTATTTCTCTCCACAAATAGGCATTGAATAAGGATCCGTAAGCTGAGACATGGCCCTGGGAATTTGCTCAAGATTGTCTTTATTTCACACAAAGGTTCAAAAGATGAGGAGTCAATGACAACAGGGGAATCTGAACTACATTTTTTCCCTCCTCTTTACATTGAAGAAAAATTTACTATCTAGATGATTCTGGTTTCAAACAAAAACCCTTTGAGCATCTCTTTGGTGGAGACAGCAACAGGCTTAGAAGTGAGGCAGCAAAGAACGTCAGTAAAGAAACTTTGAAGCAAGAGACCACATGGAATGATGAAAGACTCTAATAGGGACTTGCAAAAGAAAATAAAGACTCAATACATGAGAACAGCACAAGAATCTCAAAGCATTTTTCAAAAATTAAAAGCAAATTGCATTTATGCATACTTGATCCAAAAGCATAGACTCGTAGGGAGATCAAAGGAATGTTGAGGGTGGAGTAAACCATTCATAGAAGCTTAGGTTTAATCCCCATCCATTGTCAAAATAATCTTTTTTTGCAACTTCCCAAGTAGTATTCATCCACACTCGGCTTGATCATGTCTAATGATAAAGAGCTCACAACCTAGTAAATCATCTACTGCTATACTTCTAAAATGTAGACTGTTCTTTATTATATTAAGTCTAACAGCATTCTGTCACCTCCAACAGTACCGAGTCCTACTTTTGCCTTCTGGACATTGATAGAGAGGGTTTTATTTAACTTTTTATGCACGTGGCAGCCCTTCAATGTAAAAAGACAGTTGTAATAGGCTTCCAAAATCTTTTTTTTCCAGAGCCAAAATCAAAGTTTTATCACTTTCTTTTGTGACTGGCCTTTGCTACATTTTGTTTTTTCTCTCTTGATAAACTTGAGATTTTTAATTCCTCTTTCAATAATGGGTGCTCTGAACAAAATATTTCTGTCAATTGCATGCGTCATTTGGAGGGTGTTGAAAACATAGATTCCATGATACCTGGCTCAGACAGAATAAATAAAACTAAATTGCTAAGAATTGAGTTAGCTATTTGTATTTTAGCAAGCTTCTTTAGTGATTCTAATGTGCATCAGGTTTGGGAATCAATGCCTGCATAAAACATAAAACATCAATTTGAACAGTTCAGAGTAAGAATAAGAAATGTTATCCACCCTGTTTTTAAAAGTTGCAGCTCATTCTAGTGTTTAGCCTTCCTGACACTATTCTTATCCTGTTGATTCTTTCTTCCAGTTACACAAAAAAAATGCATAGTAATTTAAAATTATAATATGACAGAAACACATTACAAAGAGAGTAAAAGCCTTTTGTATTTCCCTCCACTCACTCTGAGAAAACCACTGTATACATCTCCAGGTTTTTAAATGTAAGAATTTGCATAACCATCACACACACACACACACACACACACACACACACACACACACAGTTCCCACACTCATAACATGCTTTTTACATAACAATGCTGCTTAGGTTTTTTTCCCACCTGACACTACTTTTATGGTTTAATGACATTTTTTGCATTTTCTCTCTTCATGCACAAGTAGCATTTCTGTGTTCCTGTTGTTCCTGGTCAAATCTTTACTTCATGTCTTCTTCATTCCTGGGAATGATATCAGGGTTGTGTCTGCAGAGATAAATTTCTTTTTACTGCCATCATTTATAAATTGTTTTGAGAAATTAATTATTTTGTTCCTCCCCACTATTAATAGTTTAACTTTTTCCTCCTTTCTCTTTCCTTCCTTCCACCTTTCCTTTCTCTCTTTTTTCTTTCTCCTTTTTTCCTTTATTTCTTCCTTCCTAAAATCTCATTCCTTAAGTGTGTGGTTCATGCTTCACACAATTTTTTTCTTGATGGAAGGGATGACCAAATGACAATATTCCCTCATTCCCATTTTCAAGAGTTTGTCTCTATAGATCAGATTTAAGTCCAAAATAGCTGTCAGTTTGTTTTGTCCCCTTTTACTTTGGGGAATTTAAATTTAATAAGGTCAGTGAAGAATGTTTCAGGTGGTCTGTTCCCAGCTGAGGAAACCTACTGGAACATATCAGAAATAATTAGCTTCTTTTGTCTCTGCTATGTCTTGCTTCTGTGCCAGTTTTTAATGTAAGTACAGTTGGCAAATGGCAGCTCAGCTCTCTGTTTGGACAAGAGGCTCCAAGAAGCATAAACTACTCCCCTGTGAGTTATAATTCCAAAGTGTATGAGGGTCCATCCAAGTGAAGACTTTTTTTGACTTAGCTGTAGTATATTCCCCTTCTCCACCCTGAGTACCGATATACTCCGCCTATTTTGGGAGTCCCTTTGGACCAGCTATATTCTTCTATTTCCCTAGATATTCTACCTAGTTTCCACAGTGCACCTAATGTCTTAGCTTCAGGAAGAAATATATTCTCCAAGTTTTAATACATATGAATATTTGCCTTTGCTAAAAGATTTCTGGCTAAAAAAAGAAATTGACAGCATGTGATTTTTGTGAGGCTATGGGACAATTGGAACTCTCAAATGTTGCTGGTGGAAGTATAAACTGGTACAACCACTTTAGAAAATTCTCTTGTCATTTCTTATAAAGTTAAACATACATCTACATTATGGCTTACTCCTAGGAATCTAGCCAAGAATAATAAAAATGTACACTGACAGTCTTAGACAAGGATACTTATTTCAGCCTAATACATAATGGCCTCAGTCTGCAAATAATCCAAATACTCATCAACCGGAAGGTGTCTAATCAAATTGTGGTATATTCATAAAATGGAATACTACCCACAATATAATGGAAGAAAGGACTTATAGTCATGAAAACAATAGGTGAACCTTAAAATCATGTTAAATGAAAGAAATCAGACATAAAATAGTACATTCTTTTTGTTTTATTATGACATACAAATGACAGCAGAAATAATCTATGATGATAGAAATCCAGTAGTGGTTGCAACGGTAGAAAAAAAATGACAAAATTTCTGATGACATGGAAATCTTCCTTATTTTACTTGGGGAATGATGGTTACAGGGGTTATATAATGGTCACAAGTGATTAAACAGAACACAAGTTCTGTGCATTTTAACATATGCTCATTATGTCATTTATACAGTTACCCACAAGATTTCCAGAGATAGACTGATTGATGTTCACTAAAAGCAATGTGTGCCCTGTTTCATCTTCATGCTCTTGATAGTTACTTGGAGAAATACTTGTTTACTCCTCCATCACTTGGATAGCTCTAGTTTATCCTGCTGGTTTCAAAATGGAATTACTTCTTAGAAGTCTTTTCTGATGACACATCATTCTAGGCTTCTTCTCTGGGCTCCCTATAATGCCTTTGTCAAGGCATATGTCATCCTACATTGAGATTATCCACATTATTGGCAATTAGCAGTAACCGGTGTGAGCTTTATAGGGCACAGGTTTTGTTTGGTTTTACTCTAAGACCTAAAACAGTCACAGAATAGCTGCTTAAAATTATGTAATAATCAGGTCAGTGCAGTGGCTCATGCCTGTAATCCTAGCACTTGGGAGGCTGAGGCAGGAGAATCACTTGAGCTCAGGAGTTCGAGACCAGCCTGGGTAACATAGTGAGACTCCGTCTCTATAAAAATAAAAAAGAAATTATGTAATGATCAAATGAGTGAACTTCAAGGTCTGTGATAGACTTTTTGAACTTAAATTTTTAAGGTAAATTTTTAACAAATACCTGTAAGTATGTTTAATTCTTCTGATAATGCATTGAGAAACACTGCTTTGAAGCAGCATAAGTTTTTCTGAAGGAATTCAGTGTACATTTGGAACCATTATTACTTTATACATCTTATGGCATTTCTTAATAAACTCATCCACTTATTTCCATAACATCTTATTGTTACATCCTTAATCCCAAAAAGTTAATGATGGGCGGAGTGCCCACATAACTTATCATCTAACCTGAGCTATATTTCAATATAAGGGAATATTACAATTACACCAGATGACAGTTATCAACTGAGCAAATAGAGGCACAATTTTCTTCTATTTATGGGGAAGTAGGACAAAGAATTTTCAGAATGCAGTAAGGACAGTATGGTTTGGTTTTGTTTTGTTTTCTTGTTTTTCAGATTTATCTTATGCATGGACCTTCAATGATAACCCCTTATACGTCCAAGAGGACAATAGGCGATTTGTATCTCAAGAGACGGGAAACTTGTACATTGCCAAAGTGGAACCATCAGATGTGGGCAACTATACTTGCTTTATAACAAACAAAGAGGCCCAGAGAAGTGTTCAAGGTCCACCCACTCCATTAGTGCAGCGCACTGATGGTAAGAGAATGAGTTCTCTTGGGAATATACTTTATCTGTGTCCCTTAAAGCCTGGGAAGATTCGTAAAGCTTTCTGTTTCCTTCTTGTTTGGTGGAGCCAAGTTATCTATGAGTTTAGGTTCAATTCACAAATACGTAAACCAAAAATATTCACCCACATGGTGCAGTAGACATGGTTTTGGGTATACCAAGCCATCTCCTTTCTGGCACTGAAACAGCTTGTCTTTTTTTTTTTGCTTAAAGACTACTTTATAAAAACAAAAATGATGTTTGGGGGAGTTGGCGTGTGTGTATGTGTGCACGTGTGGGTGCTGCCAAACTTATATAATTGACTTAATATATTTTTAATGAACATATGTTGCAGCTACTTTTAAATGCCCCCTTATTTTCATATTTGCCCTTTTTTTGTTCACCCTTTGTTTACATGGCTGGCAAAATGGGGGGAAAAGTTCATATCCAAGGAAAGCAAAGCTAACCAACATTAATTATGAGCATTCCAGAGAAGAATGAAACACAAGATTTATAATAATTATATTCCTCCAACGAATATAATTCAGATTAGTCTCTCACGAGTTTTGTAGCTTAGTCAAGTCATAGCTGGTACAAGATTTAGAGAGCCAGAAAGTTTAAGGAAGTCATTGAAGTGGAAAAATTCTCTAGTTGTTTTTTAATTAAATGTTCACAGTGGGATTCATAAAGATAGAAAATTTGTTGGTGCATTTTATGACTGTATTCAGGACTTGAAATGCAATACCTCGTGGAGATTTTCTCCCCTCTGAAGAGTTGAAGAAAAGCAAGAATATACTGCTAATAAAGGATAACAGAATTGTAGAACAAGTCCCATAGAAGGAGTTCTTATAATAGAGCTTTTATAATCACTAACCACCCAAATATATTTGAAAGGTCTTCATTAAGATTTCAGCAACTGTTAGACTTATTCCTAAGTTCAATTTCTCTCCTTCAATGAATACTCCTGTTTATGACCAGAAGAATTCATGAGCCAACAATATGCTTGGAGATTCTACTATGTTTTTCCTTTTTTTGTTTGCTGTCTACTCTGTTTCTGCTTCTTCCCTTCTTCATTCCTTCCTTTTTCTATCCACTCTATTCCCTTGAACACATTTACAGGAAAAGTAGAGCAAAAGCATTGTATATAACACAAAAATCAAACCTCTTTTACACGTAAGCATATAAGAAATATCAGACATCAAGAAAGCGAAAAAGAATAAAACCTACCAACTTAGTTGATTGAAGTAGTACTTACTACCTTCTCACCATAAGCTCTTTGAATGTTTATAATGGTCAAGGTCTTAAAAATGAAGTATTTTTGTTTCATATATATTTTGTAATTTTTACTTTTTCTACAATTATATTAGCAACCAACAATGTATTTATTTTAGGAATGTATTACTTTGTTGTTTGGTATATATATTAAAAATGATCAAAGTATTTAAATAATCTTGAGGTGTCATTGATTAAATTAATTAAGTTAATGAGAATATCATATAGATATATTTTTGTTACAACTCCTCTGGTAGGTAGTATATTTACAATAGGCTATACCATTATCTTATTCTTATCTTAGCACATATCCCCAATTTCTTGCATTGAAAATTTTAAAACTTAAAACAAATTTTTATAGGTGTACAGCAAACTTATTTAGCAACAAAACCTTATTGTACTAATATGTGAATATTTACTTTTTTTATCTCAATTAATGTGATGACTTTATACGTTTTGCTGCAGAACTACTGTTATTTTGGATTAAGACCTACTGCAGTGGACTTCTTACAGTGTTAGCTGAAAAATTCCTGTTTTTTTTTTTTATTATTATTAATCAGATCTGGCTCTCTTGAGTTTCCTGAAAGGTAGATAAACATAGATATCACTAGAAAAGTATCTTTTTTGAAAACACAGAAGCATTTTAGAATCTATATGTATCCAATTCTTAACTGAAAGCCCTAATTCTTATTAAGAAGAAATAATCAGGTTTTGGTTAATGAAGCATTTACTTCATAGAAAACTTCTATTCTCCAGAAATGCTGCTAGCTCTTTTGATATTTAACAGGTGTGATGGGGGAATATGAACCAAAGATTGAAGTGCGTTTTCCTGAAACTATACAAGCTGCAAAGGATTCATCTGTAAAACTGGAATGTTTTGCCCTTGGAAAGTAAGGTTTTTGTTTTTGTTTTCCTGGTTGCTTTAAATTTTTTTTATTAAAAAGCTTTTTGTTATTCAAATATTGCTCTAAGGTAAATTACCAAGTAGATTACAAATGCTAGAACTTTCAGTGGAACTTTCTGATTTGAATTTAAACAAACATGTCTAATACTGCGACAATGACCAGGGCTGCAATTGAAAATAATCAGGGCTGCAATTCTCCCCTACAGGTGCTGATATTTCCTTTAGTTTAAGCATAATGAGACCCATTTAGGCAGCATATTGCAAGGAAAGAAGTTCACTTGTATAAGATGATGGGCAAGTCACTAAACCTTTCACATATCCTTCACTCTGTCTTGTCCTACATCCAGAAATACATTGCCTGGAGTATTTCCTTGCTTAATTAACCAACGATTCTGATAAATAAAAAACCACTGCTCGTTTCCAAAATAAGACTAATTAAAGTCCATTGTTCATACTGGATAATTAGATTTGAGCCCAAGCTTCCCTGATAGTGGAGGCATTTTGTTTCACTCAGATAAGTATTTATTAGGAACAGGTTTGGAATACTTTTAAGCCAGGAAAATACCTACATTTTTGCATGGGATGTCTAGAACACCTCTTTGCTTTTTGGTGGTATACAAATTTCATTTTTGTGCCTATAAACACCAGAAAAAAAAAAAAAAAGAGAGACAGACTAGACTGTCATTTTCAAATGTTAGTATGCATGTGAGTTACCTGGGGACACGGTTAAATTCATATTCTGACTCTAGAGGTCTGGGGTGATGTTTGATTCCTCCATTTCTAATAAGCTCCCATATATTAGTCACGTTTCTTATAAACAGAACATACTTTGAATAGTAAAAGACTTGACTGACTCAGAGTTAAGTTCGGAGGGCTTACCTCTAAATCCAAGGTCTATTCCTAATGTGGTCATCACATTTAGAAATAGTGACTTAGTGTCAAAATTCTGGAAAACATCCTTAAATGTCTCAGTCATTTTATTAAGTTAAACATACTCAGCAATCCAAATAATGGTGGTCACTAAATCTTAGTTTGTTTTCTATAGATGGAATTTTGCATATCTTTAAATTAAATTTCTCAGAAAAGTCATTTCTCATGGATTTAAGAGACCATATTTTTTTTTCATACAGTATGGGTCTCATAGCATTTATCAAACAAATAATTATTGATTGATTAAATGATTCCTAAGAAAGTGACAAACAGGGGCTTTACATCAGTTTTTATTATTTGCCTGCCTTTTAAGACATGATGAACTTTCACCATTTTCAGGTTTTTTCAGAAGTTAAGGTTTATAAAAATATTAAATGTCATCAAATTCTTTGATAATTAGATAATTAATTTAAAAAGAAAACCAATAAAAGAGAGTATCTGAAAAGAATATTAATAGCTTATTTAATCATATTTGGCATCAGGAAATATAGATTGCTGAAATTAAAAAATGGTTTTTCACAATAAAATAATTGAAACTGTTGAGGCTATTTCTCAAGAATCTAATGAAAATAATTTCATTTGCTAAGCACCTATAACTAAACATTTATGATACAATATACATAATTGTCATAATCTTGCAGGGCAAATTATGTTTTCATTACATATGAGAAACTGAAGCTCAGATTGGAGAAGGAACCTGTTCAATTTTATGTTTCTATTCAGAGGAGGCGAGCAATTCAAACCTAGGCCCACCTGATTTTAAATTCTGAATTTAGGAACTTCTAAGTAAATGGTAAGATAACTGCTTTTGAAATCCTGGGAGACAGATTCAATTTCCAATTTTCTCAAGAGTTATTTGATTGTTAGCAAACATGCTTATAATCTCTATGAATTACCATATTTTCATCCAAAAGGAGTTATGATGTATGTTTGTTGTGAGGATTAGAATGGATAATACATGTTAAAACATTAAATCTTGGGCTTGCCATTTATGTAATAAATGCTCACTGAATTATTCTAAAACCAAAATCCAAATTTCATTCTACTTTTTTTTTTTTTTGAGATGGAGTCTTGCTCTGTTGCCCAAGCTGGAGTGCAGTGGTGTGATCTTGGCTCACTGCAAGCTCCGCCTCCTGGGTTCACACCATTCTCCTGCCTCAGCCTCCCAAGTAGCTGGGACTACAGGCACGTGCCACCACGCCCAGCTAATATTTTTATTTTTATTTTTATTTTTGTATTTTTAGTAGAGACGGGGTTTCACCATGTTAGCCAGGATGATCTCAATCTCCTGACCTCGTGATCCACCTGCCTCAGCCTCCCAAAGTGCTAGGATTACAGGTGTGAGCCACTGCACTGGAGGCATTCTACTTTTATATAAATGATGTTTGAGTTAGTGAGGATGTTCAAAGCAGAGTAGGTATCTCAGAGAGGGTATAAATTCTCATCTTTCCCAGCCCAGTCCTGTTCTCTGTGTCTCAGGATTGATGACAGTGTAAGAAAGCAGCAATTAGGGTCAGTTCTGGAAAAATAATAAAAGAAGAAGAAGAAGGAAAGAAAGAGAGAGAAGAGAGAGAGAAGGAGAGAGAACATGATCAGTATAGTCTTTGAACTGCTCTCATACCAGTTTTTTAAATTTATTTATTATTATATTATTCAAACCTACAGAAAAGTTGAAAGAGTAATATACAGATATCATATACTCTACCTGAATTGACCAAGTATAAACCTGTGCTACATTCCCTTTCTCTCTCTCTCTGCCTCTCTCTCTCTTTCTTTCTCCACACACAAATGTATCAGATATATGATAAGATCTAATCAGGAAAAATGAAGCTTGGAATATATGTGGTATATGGAATAATTTAAAAATAAATAAAGCAGTGTCTTATTTTCCATTAACCCCATGGTGATGGAAATAATCAACACATTATTAAATTGCACAAGGTAAAATTTATAATTTTAAAAACATACAAGAGTCCCTAAATCTTTTTCTTTTTCTTTTTCTTTGTTTTTTGTTTTTTGAGACAGAGTCTAAGTCTGTTGCCCAGACTGGAGTGCAGTGGCACGATCTTGGCTCACGGCAACCTCTGCCTCCGGGGTTCAAGTGATTCTCCTGCCTCAGCCAAGGGAGTAGCTGGGATTACAGGCGCCTGCCACCACACCCAGCTAGTTTTTTTATTTATAGTAGAGATGGAGTTGCACTGTGTTGGCCAGACTGGTCTCTAACTCCTGACCTCCTGATCCACCTGCCTCGGCCTTCCAAAGTGCTGGGATTACACGCGTGAGCCACTGTGCCCGGCTCCTAAATTTTGACAAAATTTAAACTAGCAATATTTGACCCAGAAAAATTTGAGTTGGAAAATTAATAGTTTAAAAAACTCTCAAAATGTAAAATCTCATGTGTGTATACAAAAGAAACTCCCTGATAAATAAATCATGTTTGTTAAGTTTATGCAGAAAATAACTGTTGAACATGAAATAATGTTAAATGGGAATAGGAAAATAATAGAAATTACCAAACCATACCTCATAGAAAATTGTCAAGGAAATACTTGATTTAATGGAGTCCACTCCCTAAATTGTTATCTAACAAAATTAATCAATGTTGAGATTATGTTTATTAAAGGAAGTCATTAACATAGAATTGAAATACCTTGGAGTAAAAATGGAAAGTCTGAAGCATCTATTGGGTCGAAGTGGCAGTGTTAAAATGCCCTGTATAACAATCTTACATTTGGTGTAATTGGAGTGCAGATACATTTCTCATTTCTTCAAAGCAACAAAATGTATGTGAAAATACTTTGACTACTTTGGAAAACTGACAAATGTGAGCTACTACCAAAAAGAGTTTTATATATGCTTGCCAACAGTTTTCAGAAAACAAATTAGATTATCTTTAACACATTGCAAACATGCTGAAAATGCCTTTTAGTCCATTATAAATTACAGTATTTACCAAATGCCATATTGTCTTCTAAATATATAAAATTAACAAACATAAAAAGCAACACACTAGATTAACTATGTTACAGGTATAATTAACAATCTGAAAATAGAAACAGTCAAACATCTTATCTTCAAAATTAAAAATCTATATTTGTAAGTTTGTTGCCAAGTCTATTGAGTGTTTATTATAAATCATACTCTCTAACATCTCTTCATAAAAATATAGCTGTGCAGCATTTGGTTTTAGTCATTTTTTTCCCCAAATATGGGGACTTCTTTTTACTAATCCATCTAAATCTTCCTGTCTACTTTGTGAGATACTTTACCCTTTTGTAAGATGTTCCATAACCTCAAAACTGAGAAAAGCTAGTTGACTTGAGGAATAAAATCAAATATTTTTTTCTGATTATATAGCTAATTATTGACTGCTATTTAAGCTATAGACTACACATTTATTAAACTAAGATGTATATATTTTAATAGATGGGGGAAAGAGAGAGAGAAGAGGGAGGAAGAAAATCAATAGGTGGGTAGAAGGAAAAGGAAATAAAAACATAGAAAGACCAGCTCCAGTGCCAGATCTTATTAAATTTTTTATTTTTAGGACATAAGAGAGCTCCTGAAATAAAAAAATTTGCTTTCATTAAATGTTTGTTTAATGTACCCCATACATGTGCTCACATAACTAGGAAATATCACCCTCTATCACTGGGAATATTTTTTCTCTTGAGGTTGTAGATTATTTTTGTTGTTTATTTATCTTGTTTTGTTTTCTCTGAACTTTCTGAATCTATGGTTTGGTGTTTGTCATTATTTTTTATTTTTTATTTTTTTTTATTATTATTATTATTTGAGACAGAGTCTCGCTCTGTTGCCCAGGCTGGAGTGCAGTGGCGCGATCCCCGCTCACTGCAAGCTCCGCCGCCTCCCGGGTTCACGCCATTCTCCTGTCTCAGCCTCCCTAGAAGCTGGGACTACAGGCGCCGGCCACTACGCCCGGCTAATTTTTTTTGTATTTTTAGTAGAGACAGGGATTTCACCGCGTTCACCAGGATGGTTTCGATCTCCTGACCTCATGATCTGCCCGCCTCAGCCTCGCAAAGTGCTGGGATT